GGAGCTCTAGAGATGTAGCTGTGATCAGAAATATCTCACCGTGGAGGGGAAAGTACAGTTTAGTGTGTGAGCACAAACTCATCCTCCAAAATGGCAGCATCAGCGAGCAAAGAAACTTTTTGGTCATTCAAATAAACCACAATTTTGTCAGAAATGCAAGTCTTAAATTCTTCTAGCAGGATCAATTCTTTTAAATGATTGAAGGTAACTACCTTATTTGCGGCACACCACTTACCAAATGAAGCAGATTTTCCATGTGCAAACTCAACATATGTTTGGCTGGCGGTTTTGGCATGTTTACGAAATGTCTGCCGATAAGCTTCAGGGACATGTTCATACACTCGTAACACCACTGATTTAACTGTTTCTTAATCCAAACTCTGTTCTAACATTAGAGCAGAACATACTTCCTGAGCTTTCCCCACAAATGTGCACTGCAATCATAAAGACCAAATATTTCAAGGCCACAGCAGAGTGACAGCAGTGTGTTCAAACACAGGGAAATAGCAGTCCACCTAACTTTTCATGAACATAGGAACTGAAACAATGTGCTTGCTAACATCAAACCCAGCAGGACTCACAGCCGAAGTGCATCGATGTGCATGCTCTGGCACAGACAATGACTCATGGTGGGGATTAGGAAATGCAGCTCTAACTTCAGCTCTTTTACTTTTATCTCCTTCTGAGTCTCAAGCTCCATGTTTGCAACTGCAGTAGCTGAGCTTGATAGTTGCTCGATTTGGATGCCTTAAGTCAAGGTCAAGCTGCTTCAGTCATAGTGTGAGCATGGGTTCCTCTAATGATGAGCCTACCACCATGTTATCTATGCCTGTCGGATCCTCAGGTTTGGTCCCAGCCTCTGCTGCAGTCATATCTTTGGAACCACCTAAATGTGATGCAATAGCCGTCTTGGGGACTCTCAAGAAGGATTTGCTGCGACCAGCTCCACATACAGCAGCTTTTTAATGTCATGCTTAGCTGTGCTCCGTGGAACCAATATGCTGTAAAAATCTTCAAAGAGTAACAGATCATCCTTATGACATTGCTCAAACTGCTCTAGCAAGGGACACATAATAAACTGATCAAGGTTAAACTTAGCAGCCATATCTCATAACTTAGGGGCCGTTTACACGACAACATTTTCAGCCAAAAACGGGAAACTTTTTATGCGTTTTGCCTGTTCATTTACACGACAACGGCATTTTGGGGACTGAAAATGCATAGTTTTGATATGCAAGTTTTTGAAAACGCCGCCGTTATCATTCCCATGTAAACACCCAATACTGGAATCTTTGAAAACGGTGACGTCATGCGTGTGCGTAGTACGTGTTAGGTATGTAGACATGCGCAGTATGTGTCTATTATAAAGGCAAGCGCGAACAAACATACACAACAATGGCGGAGTACATGGTAGTGTTGTTGCTGCTCAAGAGTTTGCTAACGTTTCTCCAGCAAAGTGTGGATTTATTTCACCAATATAACAACCAACTAACAAGCTGACAGTGCCAACTACTGGCCTGGCATATGTAATACAGCGTTTTTGGCCGTTATTGCGGATATGTGTAAATGCGAATCATTTTGAAAACGTTGTCGTGTATACGTGAAACTTTTTGAAAACGCAAGAGAAAAACTTTTCAGTTTTTGACTACATCGTTGTCGTGTAAACGTAGCCTTAAACACACACATTCGCCCACCACAAAGGCAAAACTGCTAGATAAATGCATTTGGAGAGAAACTAGGCGAACTGACGGAATGCACAGAACAAGCCCCCAATTCTGTCATGACCCGCTCTAGGTCGGGCTGCAATACACAAAGGAAGAAAGGTGTGGTGAGATCAAGATTGTGTTTTCTTTGTATTTTATTCTCTTTTTCTTCCCCACAAAGTGGTTTAAGCTTCAAAAGTTGACCAGGCCAAAATAATAAACAAAATTCCCTCTAACTATACACAAAGTGAACTAACTAACCTAACAAAAAACAAAACAAAAAAATACAGTTTCTTCCCTCACTCCCTAGCTAACCCCAAACCAAGAGAAAACAGATTAAACACCATATAAATGGCACTGACTTCCTACTAACCACTATTTACAATGTACTATTTACAAAAAAGTGATATTTACAAAATATCTCCAATGAAGCAACCAAATCCAAAGGGGCAAAGCACAATCGAGTTCAACAACAGGCAGAGGGTCATACACAGAAGAAATCAGCACACATAGCAAAATTCATACAGGACAAGGCAAAGGCAATGATCTGCACAGGGGTGTAGACTGACAAGGTTTAAATACACATGAGGTGGGAGCAAGGCATGTAAGAGTTGTGATCTTCCAATGACAAACCGGATGCAGGATCGTGACATGTTGCAGTGGGCTGGGCTTGAAAGAGGAGCAGACAAAAAACACCTATCCCATCACCGACACAGACACAAGAATGGCACAGAGAATAGACAGAAATAAAATCAAAGATGTAACTTTGCTATCAAGACAACTATGACTTCTACCAAGAAAGTGTAGACTGGTGGGGTCATTTCATACCCTGGGCTGCAGGAATGTGGGTCAGAGAGACCGCATGAATTAAATCTGGCCATTTACAGTTAGGTCCGGAAGTATTTGGACAATGACAGAGTTTTTGTGATTTTGCCTTTACAAACCACCACAATGGATTTGAAATAAAACAATCAAGATGTGATCGAAGTGTAGACTTTCAGCTTTATTTTAAGAGGTTCCACAAAAATATGGCATGTACCATTTAGGAATTACAGCCATTTTCAGCAAAGTACCTCCATTTTCAGGGGCTCAAAGGTATTTGGACAAAGTTACATAATTGTAAATATATATATTCACAAAAATATATATTTTTGTGGAACCTCTTAAAATAAAGCTGAAAGTCTACACTTCGATCACATCTTGATTGTTTTATTTCAAATCCATTGTGGTGGTGTATCAAGGCAAAATCACAAAAACTCTGTCATTGTCCAAATACTTCCGGACCTAACTGTACATTATTCAATTCAATTCGATTTTTATGTATAGCTCTTTTAACAATGGACATTCTCACAAAGCAGAGTTACAGAAACATAAATTCTGAATATAAATTTTAAATTTATAAATTATAAATGTATCTCTTTATTCTGGATATAAATTTTAACTTTATAAATTTACCCCTAATTATGTTAACCAAACCATAACCAAAATATTCCGCATGTCATGTTTAATATTAATCTAATCCTAATGGTGAACAATATGGTGATATCAAAAGTATCATACAAGTTTAGGAAATAGCACTCATATAATATGGGTTTATATTTTGTAATATGTCTACCAATAGACATATACCCACATCCCCACACATATGCATACCTGGGCCATCTGGTTTATTCAGAGGATCTTTTGTCATCCTTTCCTGATCTCTTTCCAAGGAACTGATAGCTTATCTAACAGCTTGGGGTGAGTTAGCCTGGGGTTCTGCCTATTTTCATTCTGCCTTAAAAATATGGTGTCCATATCATAAATATGGGGGGGGGGGGGGGGGGGGATTATTCTATTTTGTATAATAAACTTTTGTCATTGACTTATTCTTAAAGTTAAATGAATGTCTAGTGGTTAATGAATCATGTAATCTTAGACATGTTTGAAATAGACCTCTGACAAGCTAATATAAAAGGGTAATACTTGCAATTTTAAATGAAACCTCTCACAACTGGATAAAAAAGGCCTTTGCATGCAAGTCAAACCTATAATGCAATAATGTCCCATCCCATTGAAAAGCTTTGTATAAAGCTGCATGAATTAAATATACTGGAAGTGAACTCTAAGATATTACACTTCACTAAACACTTTAACTAAAAGGTCGTTTTTGGAATCAGTTACATTAAGCTAGTAAATTGGGTCAGATAATTAAGTTAACTAATATTGGAGTCAGATATTTAATAGTAATAAAATTAATACACACATTTGGTTTTATGAGAGCAGTGGATTAAGTATTATAGCTTTAAACTTAGTCCTACGAAAGCTAGCTGAATATTTAATATTATGTGCTTCAAACCTTCGGGTCGTCTCAAAACTCAGGGTTCCAAGCTATTGCCTACCTTGCCTGTCCTGCCTCTGGCTGGTACAAATGGCCTGAGGGGGAATATAATTCTAATTTCATTTGTTTAACATATCCCTCAGCTTTTCAAAACAGTTTTTTTTACTTGATCCAGTTGTGTCACCATATGCTTGCAACATGCTTGAAACCTTCCTGCACCATTTAGGTATGAGCTGCAATATATGGGTTTATGCATCTGCAATTTACTTAACTAAATTAGGTAACTAATGTCAGAAGAGCACAAAGAAGGAGCAATGTAGGTACAATTTTTAAACCAAATTCAACTTGACTATACATAACTAGCTACTAATTATGTTAGCTAAGGTTAATAGCTACCAAGTAGTATCTGCTACAATAAGCATATTATTTGTAACTCTAAATAAATACAAATTGAAATAAAATATGTACTAAAAATTAAGGTAAAGAAAAATATAGTTATTTTTCTTTACCTTAATTTTTAGTACATATTTCAATTTGTATTTATTTGGTTATTTTTCTTTACCGTAATTTTTAGTACATATTTTACTTGTTTAGATATTTAATTCCTTGTGTAAATAGTTCTTGGTTAGTTCTAGTTGGTTTTATGTTATTTTTTATTAAACTGCTTTTCCCAGGATAATGAAGTACTAATTCTGTTCATTCTTGCATATAACATGATATGATTGGCGTGGGCCCCTGAGTAAGTTGATCAAGATACTAAGGGCCCCCAAATGTTCAGAAATGGCCCTCGCTATAAGCACATTATATTAGGCTGTTTTGGCAACATAAATCAGTGAAAAGTTATTTCAATATTTATAGTAGCACTTTAGTCCTTTAGCTTCTACAGCTCTCTCACCTCCTCATCTGTACACTTCTCTCAAACAGAAGTTAGTGCACACAAGTGCACTAGCCTGTGCACCCCCAGTGGCTGGGGCTGGCGCCTAGTATAGGGCTCAAACCCATGATCTTGAGATCAAGAGTCCCATGCTCTACCAACTGAGCTAATTTGTCATTAATATGACAATATTATGAATCTTATTATGACAATATTATGAATAATATGATTATGATAATAGTTTTTAATATAATTTCTGCAGCAGCTGCATACTGTCTCCATATATTTGTCTTTCTCCACCACACTTTCCTATCCACCTCCCTATATACCTTCCTCATTCCAAGTTACCAGTTGATCTCTTCTCAGAGTATATAAGTATAAGTATAGATGCATGCCCATAAGTATAGATGCATGTGTTTGAAGGTTAAATTTGGTTCATTTCATATACACTGCCTGACCAAAAAAAAAGTCGCACAATCTAATATTTTGTTGCGCTGCATTTAGCTTTGATTACGGCACGCATTCGTCCTGGCATTGTTTCAACAAACTTATGCAACTTCACAACATTTATTTCCATTCAGAGTTGCATTAATTTTTGGCTGAGATCTTGCATTGAGGACAGGAGAGTCTAACCACTCCGTAAAGTCTTCTCCAGCACATCCCAAAGACTTTCAATGGGGTTAAAGTCAGGACTCTGTGGTGGCCAATTCATGTGTGAAAATGATTCCTCATGCTCCCTGAACGACTCTTTCACAAGTTAAGCCTGATGAATCTTAACATTTTCATCCTGGAATATGCCTGTGCCATCAGGGAAGAAAAAGTCCATTGACGGGATAACCTGGTCATTCAGTACATTCAGGTGCTCAGCTGACTTCATTTTATTGCCACACAATGAGGCTGAGCCTAGACCTGACCGGTTGATGCAACCCCAGATCATAACACTGCCTCCAGAGGCTTGTACAGTAGGCACTATGCATGACGGGTGAATCACTTCATGCATTTCCCTTCTTACCCTGACACGCCCATTGCTTTTGTAAATCTGATTTTATCAGACCACATGACCTTTTTCCATTGCTCCACAGTCCAGTCTTTATGCTCCCTAGCAAATTGAAGTCATTTTTTCCGATTAGCCTCACTAACAAATGGCTTTCTTGTGGCCACACAGCTGTTTAGTCCCAATCCTGTAAGTTCTCAACACATTGTGTGGAAATGCTCTTACTTTCACTATTAAACATAGCCGTGAGTTCTCCTGTCGATTTTTTTACGATGCGACATCACCAAGCGTTTTAAAGATCTCCGATCACGATCATTCAAGATTTTTTTCCGACTACATTTCTGCTGTAAAGTTGACGGTTCACCAATATCCTTCCAGGCTTTAATAATGCACTGGACATTTCATAACCCAGTTCCAGTGATTTCATCAATCTCCTTAGTTGTTTTCTTTGCTTGATGCAGGCCAACAATTTTCCCCTTCAGTAACATCTTTTTCACGACCATGGGATACGTAATCTGCCATGGTTGTTTAAGAAATGAGAAGCTACACACTGCATCAGTTAAGGTTAAAAGAATTGTTGCCAGCTGAAACATATTAATCACTGCAGTAATGATCCAATCATAGGCTCTTAAGTATTTGATTATTTAAACCCAAACAGTGACCTTTTTTTTGGCCAGGCAGTGTATTTCTTTCTTTATTTCTTTCTTTTGTTTTTAGGTGCGTCTTCTTTTCTTGGGGTCCCTTTCTCCATGTTGGTTTCTGTTTACACCCATCACATTTCACAGATATTTGTTCATCAAAGGCCACATCCACCACATCTGACCTCCAATGTGTTTTCCTCTACACCATGCTGAATGTCACTCTATGCAGCATCAAGCTCGAAACAGGATACTACACTGCATTTCTCTGTTGAGCCAGAAGACTTACTTCACATGGCCCAAATATATTTCTTAATATGATTCTTAATATAATTTTTAAGACTCTTCTGGTCTAGTCTATTTTCAGAAACAATATGATACGAAAGAGTCAAAATTCAAAATATTCAGAAGTTCAAAATATTCCTGCATGCAACTAGGTTATAGTACATATTTATTCATCTGAGACTATTTCCATTGCATGTCTTGAACTTCAGAAATGCTGACCCATTCTTCAGTGTTTTAAAGTTCAGTATTTAGAATATTTTTATGCCTCTGCCACTAGGTGGTGGAGGCATTATGTTTTTGGGTTTTCCATGCATCCGTCTGTCTGTCCAAGATTATCGGTAGAATGATATCTGAAGAACATAGCTTCCTTCCTGTTTGAAGTATATTTTAAAGTTATTTGAGGCATACAACTTAGTAACAAGAAGGACTAGACTTGTTGAGGCATCCCCACTGATACCGTTGGCATCGAGTTCGACTTGAAGACAATAACTGCAGTCCTACCTGAACCTCTCTTGGATACGACCTTTAAGCTCCGAATTAATGTAGCATAGAGGAGAACCTGAAGAGGGATAGATCCTTTCATTTTCTCTTGTGACAATGTCCTGCAAATACATGAAAAAGTCAATCAATTTTTAAGATTTGAAAAAAGGGGAATCAAAAGAGTACAATAAACATTTCAAAGCCTTGTACACAGATTTTAGTAAGTCCACTAGTAGCTTTGGTAAGTCCACACAAAATAAACTATGTTAAACTTTGAATCACTACTCCATGATTCCACATGATATTCTAGTTCAGGTTCCTTGGTTCATACTTAAGCCTGGTCTCAGCCCTAATTCGTACATATTTTACTAAAAGACCATTCCCATTTGTATAACCTGTACAAAACAAACTATTTTAAAACACAGTAGCACAAAAAACATCAACAACACAACTTCCTATCACGTACATATAAATCTATATGATTCCACAGGTGGTTTATTATGGGCATATTCATATGTGAAGTGGCTGTTATGTGCTATTGTTAGGGGAACTGTGAGGGATATTTAACACACGGGGAAGTGCGCCTCAATTTTTTTTAGCTTTGAATTTTATTTGATAGCTATGGTTAGGAAAAACGTATCCAAGATAATAATATAAATAACAGGGGGAGATAAGCAGTTCATATGCACATTTAATGAACAGATTTTTTTACATCTAGTGTTTCTGTGTTGTATAATTCCCATGTTCATGTAAGGTATATTAATATCCATTCTCATTGAAAAGAAGTTCACATTTGCCACGGTTGTAACATACAAAACCAAACGCTGCAATATGAACTTTATTATAACATAAAAAGCATAATGAAAAACATCTGTTATTATGAATAGAATCGAGTATGGTGGTCCTCTATTTTGCATCCTTGTAAAATACATTTAAGATTTCCACTAGGTTTTGACGCATGGCTGTGGGGATTCCCTTCAATTCATACACAATTTTATAGACATACTGTTACGATCACCAGCTGGAGTGCCCATGGACTCCACTAGAGGGCACTCCACCCCAGACTCTTGCCATTGTTATCAGGACTCCATTTCCCATGTGTTCCTTGCCCCACCTGTGTCATGTGCTACCCTTGTTTGTGTGTCATGTTCTGATTGGTTCCTTTGTTTCATGTGTCATGTTCTCATTGGTTGGTTTTGTCATGTGTTCTCCCTGTTCTATATAAAAGTTGCTCACACCTGCTCCTAGGTTGCTGATTATTGTATGTGTTTGTGTTTATAGCGATTCCTAGTTTCTGAGTTTCCGTGTTCCTGTGTTTCCATGTTTCCTAGTTTACCTGTGTTTTGACCCTTGGACTGTTTTTCTTGTTTTTGATTGTTTGCTGCCTGCCCTGACCATTGCCTGTGTTTTGGATTACTCTTTTGTCGTTGCCTTGGATTGTACTGTTTGCTGGTGCTCGACCCTGCCTGTTTTGACCACGTTTGTTAATAAAGCCTTGCACTTGGATCCCCAACTCCGTTGTCACGACCCCCACGTTACACATACTGTTTTTTTGATCACAGAAGTATTATTGAGGTTGGTCAGTGAGGAGAAGAGATTATGACCACAGAATGGTTGCCCACCATTTCATATTTGTCCAACATTCAGGGACAAGGATGGTCGGTAAAACATATATACAGTATAATGCCTTTATTTATATTTTTATTGCAATATTAGAGGTCACTGTTTGGGAATAGTACAAGAAGTAAAAGTTTATCAGTGATTTTACCTCCTTTTACTATGTGTATGTTCTGCATCCTCACTGAATATTTGGTGACTATTAAATACTGATGAATAACAATCAATAAATAAATAAAGAAATAAATAAAGGTCAATTCACATCTTTACATGTAATATTCACATTTTGTCAATTCACAAAATGTTAGCTTGATGCCCATTTCACTGTCCATCCAACCTCACAATTATTTTTAAATATACAAAATGTAACATGATGGTTTATGCAGTGCCTTGTTTGTGCAGTGCCTTGTGACCCAAACACATAATGCATAATGCACACATACTATCAGTTGGATTATTAATGGAATATTAAGCTGCATATAAACATAGCCACTGATGTTGAGTAAAAAGGGCTTGACTAGCAGACATCATCTGAAAGATGTCTCTCTGCCTTCTTCTAAACTCTACAAATGGACCTTGGATTATGCAGGGAGGCATTGTCATGCTGAAACAGGAAAGAGCCCACATGCTATTGCCTATGTAGCATAGCTCAATGGCCATTCTACCATGCAAGCCTACTCCTGTCCGTTAGCATAAAGAGGCAAGGGAGGCATACATTTTCAAAATGTTTTGACCTTTGGAATCACCTTTGGAATCAGAATATCTGCATTAATTACTCATAAAATGTGATCAAGTCTTCATTTAAGGTCAAGTCATAATAAAATACTCTTCTTTAAACTGATAACACAAGCTTTTAATTGAAGTCTTTGATTACTAATTCACAACTTTGGCTGAGAAAATGATCTGAACCGTTTATACTAGTAGTACTAGTACCTCTTTAAGCAGTAACAACCTCCATCAAAGGTTTCCTATAGCTGCTGATAGTACTTGCACAGTGAGGAGGAATTAAGGTTCCTACACCACTAGGGTAAAGTTTCTTCTTTTTTTAAACCATTCTTCTTCTTATCTACTTGTGTGTTTTGGGTCATTGTTTTGTTGCATCATCCAGCATTCATTAAGGTGATGGATCACTACCCTCACATTCTTCTGTAAAAGTTCTTGA